TTTTTTAAAAAAAAAAAAAAAATTGTGATTGCAAGCAAATATCTGTTCGATTTCATCTCCTTTGTTGTCATCGTACACGCACTTAATACTGGCTAACAAGGATTTAGTCGAAAATTTCGATTCAAATTCTTCAGGAACAACTAAAAATAAATGAGTAAAAGGTTGAATTTATGCATCATCAACATTTCAAACAGACAAACAAATTGAAGGAAACAGAAAAAAAAAAACAAAACAAACGAGGTGGAGAAATCAGGAAAATTACAGATTTGGGGGCATGGAGAGAGAATCTGGTAAGGCGGGGGCTTTCCGACGCCGTCTGCACACTTCGAATCGCCGTTCCCAATCTTCCCCACGCCATTTCCGGTGGTCGAGTATGTGGGCCGACAAGGAGATGCATTGATCTTGGTATTTGCCCAAATGAAATGGGCCGATAAGCCAGCTGCATAAGTTTGGGCTTCATAATAATTATAAAAGCATAATGGGATGAGATATCAATTGCCCAACTTGAACCAACATCCTCATTGGATTTGGTTGTCAAGTTTAGTTCAAAGTTGTGCGTTCAGCTAATTTGATAATTAAGTTGAATTCAAATTTGTTTAAAATTTGGAAATAATTTTTTTTTTTTTTATGTAATTTTCTATAACTAATTTATTAACGATTGATCTTAACTCGTCAATATTAACAAATGCAACAAGTTGGGCTCGACTATGTTCGATAAATAATAAAGCCATGATGTTTTAGCTCGACTTGACTCGCTCACGCCACTCGACTCGTTTACACCACACGCATCTCAGGTTTACATCACACACATCTCAGAAACATATGTCAATCTTATTTTTATTTCAAGTATTTTTAATAAGAATTAAAAAGTATTCTTAGTCAACTTTATACTTGCAAGTTGAAAATTTTTAGTTTGTAGATTGTGTTAATTGGAAAGACATGGCTTGCCTAACCTCTTTGCACAATGCACAATATGTGTACTTTAGGTCAATTTTACATTGATTTTTATTACTGAAATTCTATAGTTTACCAAACCTCTCTATAACATGATCGCCATCAACATATGGATAATGTGCTTTAGATTTATTTTACGGTAATAATTTATTCATTTCCAATCTGTGAAGGTGCTGTCATGATGAGATTTGACTT